ACTAAGTAGGATTTCACTCCCCTTGTTATTAGAGGTCATTAAATTTATTAGATGTTAGTAAAATCCTTGTAAACAGAAAATAGGAAGGCTTATAAGAGAGTGCTCTTTATTTTCACCCTAATAATTAAGATGCAACTAGGAATAGGATAATAGAAGCCTAATTTATGAAGTGCTGTTAGTTCCATGGCCTGTGACAGTTATGTAACAAGTTTCACACAGACCTGTTGAAATGAAATATAATTGTGCAAAGAGGATATCATATAGATTAGATGAAAACTTGCAGGTAGGCTATCTTTAGCAGAAAGTATGATGATTGCTACAAACTCTAAAATCATGCTCTTTACTCACTGAAAAAGCAGGTATCCAAAGTGAAATAAACTTTCTCTACTTCTTTTTACATATTTACAAACTCAATGTGGTTCCTCTAATTTGAGATGATGGTTCTAAAATTTAAATGATCTTGGAATAAAAAACCTAACACTTTAGAAAATTTTTAGTAAAACCCACTTCTAGTTATGACTGTGTTATTAGTTATGACGCTGGCTGACAGATAAAGTGCACACCTGCAACTTCAGCAATATAACTCAAAACTTCTTAATTCAGAAACAAAGTTTTCTCACCAAAGGGAAAGGAGAGTATTTTTAGCTATAGCAGGGTGCAAACCTTTGCGGAACTCTTTTTTGGGAGGGTGATAACTGTATGTAACAGGGTGTTAGAGTCATTATGATGAATGGACAACTACAATTCCCTCTGCGCAAAGAGAATTTCATAGAATTTTTGAATTGTCTAGGTTGGAAGGGACCTTCAAGATCATCGAGTCCAACCATCGACCTCACTCTGATAAAACCCATCACTAAACCATGTCTCTAAGCATTTTGTCAACCCGTCTTTTGAACACCTCCAGGGATGGTGCCTCAACCACTTCCCTGGGCAGCCCATTCCAAGGCTTAATAACCCTTTCCGTGTCAAAATTTTTCCTACTATCCAGTCTAAACCTCTGCTGGTGCAACTGGAGGCCATTTCCTCTTGTTCCATCACCTGTGACCTGGGAGAAGAGACTGACTCCCCCCTGACTACCCCCTCCTTTCAGGGAGTTGTAGCGAGCGAGAAGGTCTCCCCTCAGCGCTGAACACCCCCAACTCCCTCAGCCTCTCCTCACAAGACTTGTGCTCCAAACCCCTCACCAGCTTCGTTGCCCTTCTCTAGACCCGATCCAGCCCCTCAATGTCTTTTTTGTGGTGCGGGGCGCAAAACTGGACACAGCACTCGAGGTGGGGCCACCAGTGTGGAGCACAGGGGCACAATCACTGCCCCAGTCCTGCTGGTCACACTGTTCCTGATACAGACTGGGATGCTGGTAGCCTTCTTGGCCACCTGGGCACACTGCTGGCTCCTGTTCAGCCAACAGTCGACCAACACCCCCAGGTCCTTTTCTGCCAGGCAGCTCCAGCCACTCTGCCCCCAGCCTGGAGCGCTGCAGGGGGTTGGTGGGACCCAAGTGCAGGACCCGGCACTTGGCCTTGTTGAACCTCATCCCATTGGTCTCAGCCCATCCATGCAGCCTGTCCAGGTCCCTCTACAAAGCCTTCCTGCCCTCCAGCAGACCAACACTCCTACCCAACTTGGTGTCATCTGCAAACTTACTGAGGTTGCACTTGATCCCCTCGTCCAGATCATTGATAAAGATGTTAAAGAGAACCAGCCCCAGTACTGAGCCCTGTGGGACACCACTCGTGACCGGCCACCAACTGGATTTGACTCCATTCCCCACCACTCTCTGGGCCCGGCCTCCAGCCAGTTTTTAACCCAGCAGAGAGTCCTCCCATCCAAGCCATGGGCAGCCAGTTTCTCCAGGAGGATACTGCGGGAGACTGTATCAAAGGCCTTACTAAAGTCCAGGTAAACAACAGCCACAGCCTTTCCCTCACCCACCAAGCCAGTCACTTCGTCATAGGAGAACAGGTTTGTCCAGCAGGACCTGCCTTTCATGAACCCGTGCTGGCTGGGCCTGATCATCTGGTTGTCCTTCATGTGCTGCATAATGGCACTCAGGATGATCTGATCCATGACCTTTACATTCTTATGACAGATTTCTAGAGAAAAGATGGAATTAGGGTAAAGAAATGAATCCTGACTGTCTCTGCCTCACTTAAGACAAGCTGCTCTTGACTGCAGAGACTGAAAGAGTGCCTTACCCCCCTCCTCCAGAAGATGCCTGCCCTTGAGTGAAGGGGAGTGAAATCTCCTTGTGCTTCTATCCCTCCAGGAAAGGCCCCCTGACGGTTGCATCTTTTTTTTGAAAGGTCACTGCTGCCATGTGTTTTATCCATTTTTATAAAAAGTTAAGGAACAGGAAAAACCTAGGGAACCTTTAACTCTGAAAGAACCTGAAGGAAGAGCTTAGATTCCAGGGATGCTCATCTTGGTCTTTCTAGATACATGTAATATATGTTACAATAAATTGCCAGAAATGTTTCAGAATAATACTGGTTTTGCAAAGGGTTCTCCATTCAGTTGCCTGTATACTGACTTTTGGCTAAATCAACTAAATGTTTTCTAAAGCCAAGGAAAGAAAGTTCTAGGCCTAAGAAATCAAATTTCTTACCTCTTGGATACCTTGCTGACTCTAAGCTGGAGTATCTGTGCATAATGCTCTCTGTCAACTCGTTTTGGCTTGGAGACTCCATTCCATCCTGGCAGGGAATGACCTGGCCTCTGTTATTCACGCTTCCGTCACCTCTTGGCTGGAATCTGGTAATGCAGAATAACTTGGGCACGCAGCCTTTGGCATTAGGGGAACTCCAGGTAATACAGAACACTGCAGTGCATCTCAGCCACATGGGCACGGGCACATCAAATCATTCTGCTGTACTCGACAACGACACTCTTCAGAGTATCAAAGGCAATTTGCAGTAATGGTCTTTGCCTTGCTCTGTGACCTGAAGCTGGGGCAGCTTGGACTTCAGGCTATCCGCAGCCCTGAGATGGAGACAACTGATGATAACTATTCCTTTGACACAGTAGGGCCCTCCACCAAATCTGCTGTAAGGGGGAGATAAAAACTTGAAATTAAGTTCCCTACAAACAACAGACACCACAAACCTTATCACCTTTTGCTCTATGTGCAAGACACGTTTCTTTGATATTGCCTTGTTTAACATGACTACATATGTTCTAAATTGCAAACCCTACTGCAACGAACACAGAACAAACAGAGTATACACACAAGCAGGCTGATAGTGTAGGTGCTGGTAGGCACTGAGTTCCTAATACTCATATAATATAAGAGTTTGTGTGAAATCTGGGAAGTGTGGGGTTGCACAACCAGAAGAATATCTTCTAAACCAAGCAGTAAAGCCATAATTTTTTGCTGAAGGAAACACTATTAGAGGGAGAAGTCAGCTGTGTGCATTTATGGTATGAGTCTTACCAAAGTAACATAAATTAATCTGCCTTCTTTACTAGAAGATCTGCAATATAATCAGAATTTAATTCCATTACTTTCAAGAATAACAACAAATTTTCCATTCTGTCTTTTACCTCTTTACCATTATTAAATTGTCAGCATAGGCAGACGTGGATAACTATGCAACCTGACTTGGACTTGCAATACAGTTCAGGTCGAGGGAGAGCAGATTGAGAGCACCTTTGAGTTTGCTCCTTTGCAGAAGCTTACCTCTCACTATTCAGCATACAGGAAGCTTACAGAAGTTAATTTTCTCGTGTAGGCACCTGAAGTTAGATGGTGTGAAAAATACACTCCTCTTCTTCCATGCACTGCAACAATGAGGTATTGAAGACAAGACCTAACACCTTCCAGAGGACAAATGACAGACAAACAGATTCCTTCAGTGGTTTATTTTACAAATGTCCTTAAATTAGCAAATACATAACACAAATTTAAATACCACCATATATCTCAGAGTGTTATATAAAGAGTCCTTATTACATATAGCAGTACCAAATAAGCAAGGAACAAAAATATCCTAATAAATTGGTTTGAAAACAAACGTACTTGAGAGAATGCTATCTGATAAATAGCTTTTAAGTTTTCTCACTTTAAAGTCATGTCAGCTTAACAAAGACACAACTTGTTAATAGCATTACTCTTATTGCTGAGACAAAAGGGACAGAAAGGGCGTCGGTGGGCAGAAGAGAAAGAACAGCAATGAAAGAATTGTGGAATGCTTTGATAATGTTTGGGTAATAAATTATTAGGATGTTCATCAAAATAACTGGAAAAGTAGTGCTCTCAGTAAAGTACTACCAGATTACCAAATAGGTACCAGACACAAGTGCTAACAGGTGCACCACCAGCACTCATTCCAGTTTGTTCCAGCAACGCATCTTCCCCTGGAGAAACAGCACCCAAGATTGTATTATATTGTCTTACAGACTGCATATCTGCATATTCTCGAATTTAATAGTTCCAATAAAATTTACCTTTCCCACTGAGAGCTCAGGGGCTTGGAATAAAACTAAAAGATTCACTGGAAAGTTTAATCAAACATAAGGAGGCCTGAAAAATCTCTTACTGCATGAGATGCACTACTGTATGTTACGCAATTAAATAATATGCTACACATGACATGCGGAGGACACATTCCAGCTCCACTTCCAGATATATCTTTGGAGAAAAAATGTTCTACGAGAGCATCTTTCATCTGTAAACTGAGCTGATTAACTGGAAGCAATCGAGACGTGCCAGCCATGGAGGGTGACGTATACTCCCGTGTTTGCAGCCAAAAACCAGCTGCACTTTTGACCTCTACCTCAGTTTCTCCGTGTAAAGCATCCTGAGATGATCCTTTAAGATAAAAAGCCACTTTAAAATATCACTACAACTAGATGTTAAATATTTCAGGGAAGCTTTTGAGCAAACCTTGGGACATTTCTTCCCCTTCCGTATACGTTATACCTTGATGGATACAATGAAGTAGAAAAAAATGGAGGAAAAGCTTCTGATAAAAAGCCACTTTAAAATATCACTACAACCAGATGCTAAATGTTTCAGGGAAGCTTTTGAGCAAAGGACCTTGGGACATTTCTTCCCCTTCCATATACTTTATACCTTGATGGATACAATGAAGTAGGAAAAAATGGAGGAAAAGCTTCTCAGAACATACAGGTGATTTCACTGCTTTTGTTTCTTCCTTTTTTATGCAGACATTCATCTTCCACGAGAACCCAAGCTTCTCATGACATGCTGGAGAGCAAAAAGCCCTAGTCATACATGCTTAGTTTCAAAGTTATGTTACTCCTCGGAGAGAGAAATAAATGTATGCTATATTAAAAACAATCATCACAGCCCTTTAAATGATTGGATAGTTTAGCTTTGAACACAATTCAACCTAATAGAGGCTTTAATGGCTTTTGACAGATTGTTCCACTGATCAAGGGACATGTATGAAAATAACTGCCTACCAAGCCCTGATTTGATTTTAAGAAAAGAAAACTGAAGGTTAATGGTAAACAGAAGTTGATTGTTCACATTTTCACTGAAATAACTCTATCTGACCTGTTCTTAGAAGCAGTGAAATAAAGGATAATGGGAATCCTATACACCTGACTTTTTACTTCAGCCTCTAATCAAGGGGACTAATCAGACCAAGATGTGCTGGCATGAAAGCAAGTATTTGACCATACAGAGGGGGAGGAGAAAACTGTTGTGACCAAATTCTGATCCATCATGGACAAGCTCCATGTAAAACAGTGGAGCGTCAGAGGATGTAAACCATAGCAGAGCGTGTCCTTTTCCATCATGTGATTTATGAATGTATCTCCAAAGCAGCAAGAAGATAAACCACAGTTTTCATGTCACGTGTGAAGTGCTCACACCCAACCACCAACATTTCAATGGGATAATTTTATCAGTTATTTGTTGGCTTTTGTTTGACTTGTCATTCAGCCAATTCTGTACCCTTACTAAGTACAGTCTTTTTGCAATTGTATAAATGATCTTCTCTTGTCCAGTGAATGCTCCCAGGCTAAGGTGAAGAGGACAGATGAATGTCAATGAAGATGCAAGCCCAGCCATGTTGCAGGTGATGGGCCTCAGTTTGGACTGCAAAGAGAAGAGTGGCTCTATTTAGGATGGACTCTGCCCTTAGAGGTGGGGTGACGTGACAGCCAGCATGGGGCAGTTTGGGAACCCTCAGAAACATTGAATATTGGTGGTTTTGCCCGGATCTTCCACCACTACCTAACAGCTCCCACCCCTAACACTAGATTAGTGTAGGGCTGAGCTTTTCACTCTGCTGTGGGGAGTGCAGGGCTTGTCTTTTTTTCGGACAAGGAACCTCACTGTTAACAGTCTTCTGCTTGTTTGTCTGACCCTTCCCCACGGCAGCTGACCATCCCCATGGGATAGTTCAGAAGATGAGCTGCAGCAACTCGAGTCTCAAACGGGAACCAGATGTTGAGTGGAGGAGGTACTCAGTCCATGGAGGTGTAGTAGGACAGAGGTGGAGGTTGAAGCTGGGGATCAGGGTGTCTCATGCCTGTTGCTACCGAGGAACAACCACTCTTCCCAACTCTAACCTTGGTGCAAGAAGACAGTGGTCAGCTCCTAGAGAAAGCTATGGACTAGTTGTTGGGGGGCAAGAGGAGGGTTAAGGAGCCACCATTAACTTTGCACCAGCTGGTAACAATTAAGGGAGAGATCCTGACCTGCACTGTACAAGTTACTGCTCAATGACTCCCATATGAGTTAAGTTGTGGCCTTAAGAAAGCACATCCCTTGCATCTCACGTGCATCTCATCTCATCTCATGTCTCTCACCCTCCTCTCATCCCAGTTTAGAGATCCTGGGCTAGTTCAATCTCTGCTGCATTAGCCCACATTCCACTCCATGACACAGGACTAATGGAACTGCCCTACTATAAGGGAGAAAGCAGAAATGCCCCCTCTGAACACACTACAGTATTTTAACCATCTTTTGTGGTGGATCTTGGGAATTATTTTCTGGTTTTCCTGCTGCTATGGCACTGGAATCCCCAAATCTGTCCCACAGCATTAAGTCATCCAGCATGATTTTAATCTTGCATCATTACTTATGAAACTAAAACTATATCTGGATGATAATAAGACAACTGATTTGGGTATTTATTGCATTCTGTGTTAGCCATCCTGGACAGTTTCCAGTCAGCGATTACTCATGGCATTCTTAATTACAATTTAGATAATCAGAATCTGCTGTAAAGCTCAGAGCATAAGCATGATGCCTTTAAAATCTACTGTATTGAGATTAATATTTTTTATTTACATAGCCTTTTAACAAGAAGAAAGGACCTACAGGATAAAGTACTTTTACATAAGGATATATGGATAAAGCATTATAAAAATATTTCTAATTACGTAGCATAACACAGCAGTTTTCTATCAAATACTTAAAAATGGCCTTTACCTTTCATCCCCCAAATTAGAGAAACAATAAAAGTTTTTCATTTCCTGCCAACATTTTCTTTCTATCAGTGTAAAACCAGCTCTGTATCAGATTTTTTAAAGAAAGCCCTTGCCTCAAGCCTTTCATTTGTATTGGTTCCATGTTTAGTCAGTAGCTTTTGTAAAATTGATGAATATTGTCTAAAGGCAAGTGCAGACAGGCAAACAGATCTGTATCTTCTGTAATCCATTTAGCCTGACACACACATGCAAGTGAACTATTTTACCTTAATTCTCTCATGGCTGATGAAAAGTAAATGTAAGCAAAGTCGTGAACTTCACCATTTAAAAAGAATCACTGAATCTAATGTTAGAAGCTAATTTATGCTCTCCCCTCTTCCCTGAAAAAAACCTGACCTTGGTCCTCGTGCCTCTGGAGCATCCAGACTGGGCAAACAGCTGCTATACAGACCACATCCATTAGAGGCTGTCTTTTTCAGCTCATCCAAAATGGTAATGGGTTATCTAATGCTGGAATACAAACAGATCGCTAAACTATCATTGCAACATGAGCTAAATCATAACTATTTGAATAAAATAATGAAAACTTTGAAGTATTCATCTGCTTCTAGTACGTAATCCAAACACAGCAATAATTTACACTTGATCTCTCAGTTTTTTAATAGGTATTTACCTTCAACCATGTTCTCCTCCTGGGGTACCCTTTGGCTTTACTACGTACTTCAAACAGTTCCATCAACCTTACTCATGTCTTTGCTATCAGCTCCTGTGGGCTTTGGAGATATGAAACCCTCTTATACTTCTGTATTTCAGCGGAACTCAATCAAGTTACACTGATTTAGATGATGTGAGACTGGAATGCAACACAGAGCATTAATCCTCTTTAACCACTTCATTATTGGTATTTTGGCAGTGAATCTTAGGTCTTATCCGTTCCAAAGGTGTTCATTTGTCTATGTCATTGCTATCCATGGCTTAAATGAGTGCTATCCAAGTGCACTGAGGCTAGTACTAGTTCAGCTAATTCACTAGCTTAAATCTTCAGCACAGACAAGACCTAGAATCATGCATTTTTTAAAAATGCTATTGCTGCCAGCAGCCTCCTAATACAAGAAAAACGCAGTGTTTTTTCACTACTGCTGGAAATAATTATTTGCCAATCATTTTTTAATAGCTATGCCTCCACATCAGCTACAAACTACAGCGTTGATATGCCTTCTCTACCCTGTATGGCTGTCAGATTCATTTCAATACTGTGATCCCCACGGTTTCTAGCAGCGCTTAATTAAACACAAAATAATCATAAAGTAACAGCCTAAACAAACAAACAATCCCCTCAAACGCTGTGTTAACAGTGTTACATCGTTAGCTTGTTTGAATTCATCTTGCTCATTTCCAAAGAAATATCTGTTTCTGTGAGAACTGCCGTTTCAAAAGCAGAATTCCCACATCTTCAGCTAGCTTTTCTCTAAGTGATCTCCAAAGTAAACAGTATTTAGTGTGGCATTAATCCAAAGATATGCTATTTGCCCACTGGTAAAGGCAGCTTTAGCTAGTGCAGGAAAGAAAAAGCTATGCCCATAACATAATATTTCAAAATGTTAAGGAATCAGTGGCACGAGAGATAACAGATGGATCAAGGTTATAATATAATCAAACCTACTTTAAATCATAGTTTATTCTTGAGAGAGTCTTTACACTCTACAGGGTGGCTAACAGTTTTAGCAGAAGTCCAGGACTACAATGAAAATGCCTGATGCAGGTTTTTACACTTTTGCTGGCACAGCCATGGCAGAGGTGTGGAGGGACAATCTCTACTTGATATAATTGTCCTGGCAAAAGCTGGTAGGTGTGGACAGAGTTTTCTACCACTAAACCTGAATTTTTGCTGGCACAGCTTCTTTAGCTCCAGGGAGGTCTGGCATATGTTATACTGTCAAAAGCACAATTTTCGGCAGTACAAGCCTCATCCACACCCGGAGTGCTTTGCCAAAGCAGTGTACTGGTATGCTCTGGGTAAGCCTGGCCTCAGCACTGATTTTAAACAGGAGATTAACACAGGAGGCGTATTCATTTCTTGGTGGCAACGTCAAGCTCTGAGTCTTACTGGTTTCTTTAGCAGTGGTAATACAGACTGAACGCTGTTTCATCATAATATGATTTTCTTCTGCTTTCTGTTGCAAAGGAAAAGGCATGGACCAGCTCAAATTAAAACAGCAACTTAACTAAAAGAAAAATCTCTCCCTCACTCAGGAATGCCAACACGGAATCGTTCTTTTTATAACACGTTATTACCAAACAGATCACAAACAGTGTCATTTCTCATAGTCTTCTGGTTTTGTTCTTAGAGATCTCATTAGGTGAACACAGATGCTGCAATGCCCAGTATCACACAACCTAAACCTCATCTGTCAGGGGACTTGACACCCTAAATGAGCACCCTTTCTAAGGTCCATCAGCTTTTTAGGGAATGCACTGGGAAACCTGGCCTCAGAATAGGATTTACAACATGCAGAAACAAAGCAATGGTCAGGAACCAGATCCTGGTTTTCAGGGAGCCCAGAAGGTACATATTCCCACCAGAAATCTCTCCCAGTATTATTCAATTTCCATGATGAAAACCAGCAAGAAAGTCTTGGGATCTATGTCAGGATGCTCCTCCAGAGTTCCTCATCTGAAAAAATGCTCTAACAAGAAGCCACTGCATAAAGGACTTTCTCCACCATCTACTGTACCTTGATCTTAGTGGATGAAGTCGATGCATTGTGTGCCCAGCCCTATACTGGAGATATCATCTCAAGCTGGCATCTCATTAGGATGCCTAGATTGTGGATTCTGCTTTGTCACAGGTGTGCACTACACCTCGTGTTGCTCGAACCTGCCAAACCAGAGGCAGTTCTGGCAGTCGTGGAAGCTGAAATTTAGATGTCAAGGGAACTTGTGGAGAAACAGATATCCATGGCCTGAAGGGTGGATGGGAATTAAGAGTGGAGGAGGAAATAACTAAGGCTGGTGTTCTGGACTTCAGGTCTTAAAAGCCACACGTTTCTGTAGATTTGGGCCTTGTCCTTTTTATTAGGAGAAAGTAACTAAGTGAAATCTGCATTGACACACAACACATGATTGAGGTGTCATAAAGCTGAAAAGATTTATTTTAAACTAAAAGGCTTCTATCCAAATGATAAGCATCAATAATTCTAGGCTGGAAGTTCACCTGTTACTCTACCTACTGAAGAAGATTTTGTAGATTAGCAATTACTTCTTCCAGATCGTATGGCAGAGGCATACTGCTTTCATCATCTGTCCAGAAGGGATGGCATTCTGGTTTCTGGTCTTCTGGCAAGCTCTCTGCTGCTTCTGACTGGCATCTGAAAAGAAGGGTAAGCAGAGGAACTACTTAAGTAAAACTGTATCAAGAAACTGAATACTCAGCGAGGATACCTTTGTGCATTAATTGAAAGAGAAAGAGGATAATAAAAAAGAAATACCACATCTTCTGACCAAATGGATTGTTCATTTACAGTGAGGCTGATTTCTGTTGTAGGCTTTGTATTTTCTATAGGGATTTCTCAAAAAGCCAATCACAGAGAAAACTCAGTTAGTGTACCTTTATATGGTGAATTATTTTTTCATTATCTCAGCTGTTATTTAAAGCATGTGATTAAACCATTATCAGATTTAAATGTTTGCCGGTTTCCAATGTATTACTAGATTATTGAGAAAGATTAAACTGAATTTACTGCATTAAGGTCAGAGGGGATAGATTAAACAATATTAAAGAAGCCGGACTAGCTTTGTAGATTCTGGAGATTTACAAGTGTATCAACCTGCTTAGCTCTGGAAAAGGCAATATAAAAAGAGAAAATTCTATAAAGATAAATGGAAATAGAGGTTAATAACAACTTCCAATGATGAATAGGTGGGCAAAACTTCAATAAAATTAAATTAAGAGGTTAGTGTATGTTAGTCCCCAGAGAAAATGTTTAAATTACAGTGTTTTTTATTAAATGGATTATTCATCAATACTAGTGAAGTCTAATTATAATATTCAACTGAACCGCAGCCTGCAGAGGGAAGTTTTAGAAGTGGCAACCATCACATCTCTTAAGATTAGGCTGTAATACAACATGCTGCATCAAAAAAATTGTCACAGTTCAAGAAGGATTTCTCCCTCTCCCTTCTCCCCTTCCCTCAAACAATTTGCATGTTGCTGATTAATTAGTTGATGTTTGCAATGGGACACGACAAAGAAAAATGCTAAGCATTACTGTAATTTTGGTAGATACTACAGGTCTCCATAGTTCTTCAAAGCCATAAAAAGCAACTTGTAGAAATACACTTTTATCTCTTGTAAGGCATTTTTTTTTTAATTTCACGTTTTATAAAGCACGTCATTGTTTTAACAGTTTTAAAGTTGTTTCAAACGTTATCTGTATCTCTCATCTCTGTAAAACGAACTCTCAAAATATTGACACGTGCAGCTTCCTTGTCTACACCGTTGGCCTTCTGGAAGAGACTGTTTCCAAATGAAAGACGTCTTCTTCTCTGGGGAATTATTAATGGCAGCGTAATCCCCATGAGAAAACATACTTCAGCTTTACACCCATGTTGGTGTGTGGTTAATTGCCGCACCAGCATCCTGGGCACTCAATCCATCGTACATTACACTACAAGGACAGTATTAACACATAACATTCCAATATATCTTCAGCTCTCCACATCAGCCCCTGATAATAGCATCTGTTAACATGCACTAAGTACTATTATGTAGCACATCACTTCATAAATAATAAGATTAGCCGACCTCAGGGCCCCGGGAAGAGTAATGTGTTTAAATGTTCTCATTATTTATTTAAAACAAGAATTAAAGGAACAGAAGCTACTTGTGACAATCCTCTTAGCATAAATATTAAACTGTTTGCATTGATAAGCTGCACTGTACAGAATAACAGAGGATTTGTTTTGCCGGCTGCTTTATAATAGTTGTTAGAGGAAATGCAGTTTAGTGTATGAGTTCTGAGAGGTACTTAACTGATTGTGCCATCATGTTCTGAAGACATTTTCCAAATTATATAAAGGAACAGGAGAAAATTAATATGCAGGGGAAGCTGAAACTAATTACAGCATAACTCTATAAGGCTTTTAAAATCTTGCTTTATTTTCTGTCTTGGCACAAAATAATACGCTCAATTTGCTGGGTGGTATAAGATATTCCAGTTTAAGCATTTCAATCTAAAAGTGGATAAATTAACCATGTAGAGATTATTGCAGATGACAAATCAAGAAGCTCAGCCAGTAAATACTGCAGGGATATTATGTGGTCTGCAGAACTCAACTTATAATAATGAACGTTCTCTCTCATGCATCTGCTATTTACAACAGAATTTCATTGAGAGGAAGAACATACCAACTTCTAGCTTCTTTGTGATTTCAGAGCTCTTTTTTACCTTTAATGTCTCCTTTTCCCCCCTTGCTCTCTCACACATAAGGACTGACCAGCTTTTCCTTCACGTTTGGGTTTTGGGCACTTGTGTTGCTGTAGATGTGTCCCAAGTGACAGTGATGCTGTGATGGAAGTGTGTCAGGGCCTTAGACTTTCTGTGCAAGTCTGAGGAGAAATGCATCAGTACGTTGTAAAAGTATAAAAAAAGGGTAAACCTTGACATTCCAAGTTCTGCAATCCCATAGCTCCTTTGTCTTTCTGCCCAGGATTTCTATGACTTTGCTTTATATCACTAGCAAGAAAAGCAGTGAATGCTACCTTTTTATATCTTGTGAGTCACCTATTTTGACCAAAATTACAATCCCTGTGCCGGATCTGCTGGCATCAAAGTCAACTCAAGCTGCTCACAATTAAAATTAAGGGGCTGGGTTCTGAGAAGTCATCGTCACAACCTGGCAGTTCATTAAGCAACTCATCCACTAGCTTGAACACTGTCATCCAAATATGTGCTTTCTGACTCAAAAAGCAAACCCAGTCCTTTCCAGATGAGTATATTACTATTGATCTTCATAAATTTCTGTGGGAGACATGTTTCCTACAATGCTCTGTAATTCGTAGCAGAGTGACACACCTGAAGATCCTGCAAAGGGATAGCAAATTTTTATCTGAAGCAGAACAATCAAAATATCAAGTAATTGCACAGAATTATTTTGAAAATATGTGCTTTCTGACTCAAAAAGCAAACCCAGTCCTTTCCAGATGAGTATATTACTATTGATCTTCATAAATTTCTGTGGGAGAAATGTTTCCTACAATGCTCTGTAATTCGTAGCAGAGTGACACACCTGAAGATCCTGCAGAGGGATAGCAAATGTTTTATCTGAAGCAGAACAATCAAAATAACTTCAAGTAATTGCACAGAATTATTTTGGATTCCTTTGTATCTGGGAATAGATGGCTAACATAAGTTAGTGATGATTACTCAGAATAAACAGAAATTGTGTCTTTTCCCAGATACAAAAAAAATTGAGGCTCCACATGGGAAATTGTGTCTTTTCCCAGATACAAAAAAATTTATGAGGCTCCACATGTGAAACATTGCAAACATCCCAGTATGGTGGTAGTGGGAAAGTACCAAAATTTATAATATTGTAAGTTAATTAAAATATTGCATATTAATTAAAAACTGTCATTTGAATAAATAAAGTCCAAACTCCAAAGTAGAGTAGATCCAATCTGTGTATATTTTATGCACAAAATGTGTTAAGAGTGGAAATAACACACGCTCTGAGAGACAGAGCAGATGCCAAACAAAGAGGCACCTTTCATACTTTATTTGCAGGAGAACAGAAGAACTGCCACGGCCTATTTCAGAGCAATTTAGTTCCAACACCTTGATAATTCGTGGTCACCAACTTATTAAAGAAAGGATGATTTGTCTAAAAGTGTGCAGAATGTGTAAAATGCTAAAACAATCAAGACCTGTGCAAGTTTTAATTAAAAAAAGCCCATTTTTAAGGAACTCTTGGTTACTCCTGCAGTGCACATTCTCGTTACCTCTCCCCTGTAAACTTCACAGACTTCGGATCCCCTTTATCTCCATTTTTGCCAAAAGGACTTTGCTCATTAATATTTACCACTTAATATAAGTTCAGTTAAGTCATGAGAAGCATCTGTATGACTGTAGGCCAATAGACAGCTCTTTCCCTTGGAAGGTGGCTCATTTCACAGTGGGCAGGTGCACTGGAGACAGACACTTGCCCAGTTGAGGTCCCCTGGGCTGCGCTGACATTTTGCTGATCAGGGTGTCAGCTACATTAGAGGACACTGATCACGATGCTAAAATTAACCAAGCTCACTAAAGTATGTGTTAATTATGAGTATGCAAGCAGTCAATAAAAGGTTAATGCAAGAGTCAAAGGATAAATTTATTTCAGTATTGCATCACTCTACTGACTAAATGACTAACATTATGCTTTGTTTTTAATCGATATATTTTACAGTAATGCGTGAGCCATTGATTTGAAAAACAGTCTTCTTTCTAACAGACAAGTTTTGCAACTGCTAAGTATCAAGTATCAATATACTTAAAGCACTCTTTTTTCAGAGCAGATACCTTTTTGTTCTGTTGTCAGGATCGGGAACGCACATAAGCCAGGAGGCGGCCTCGGGTCCTGCTGATGAATGTGATTAATGCAAATAAGAATTATTACCCAGGAACCTAAATAAGGCGCTGTGAATTAGAGCCCCTGGATTGGATTCCACCGCGCTGTTTGTCTGCTCCACAGAGGCACAGTCAAATCAGATCAATAGGGGTCAATCTGCGGCTCAGGCTGCACAGGCTGTTGTGTGAGGAGTGGGGAGAGGATGACAACAGCCCCGTTTCTGAGATGGTGCTCATCGAGCTGTCTAAGCTTGGCAGCCCAAACACCAATGGAGATCACATAGAACTTCGTAAGGTGAGTCAAGGAGCATGGATCTGGCCATCTTCCCCAGGTACTGACATGGTCAGAAAGGGAGGATGGGGTATTGGCTCTGCACGTACCAAAGTACACGCTCACCCATACGTGCTTCCTCCAGCATTCCTGAAATTACTACCTTTCACATGGGAGTTATTTCCTCCCTCCATTCATGCTAGAATAAAGGTGTTACTGAGCTGTTATTCAGAACTCCAGAGTATCTTTTAAAACGATGGCCCAGGTAAAAGCAGGGCTTGGCTCACCCTGAGACAAATGCATTCATTGATCCCACACCAATATTGGTTAAAATGACACAACGCTGCTAAAATAGATGCAGTTCTGAGCTACAGTAGGAGCTTCTTTAGACACTATCTTCCATTCTGAAGATTCACAATGACTTTGCAAATTTGGGTCTGATGTCACTGTCCCCATGCAGAGCTCTGCTGTGTGAACCCACATCCTGACA